CTTCGAGGAACTTGATGCTATTCACTCTCTCAACCTCAGCTCCATTGATGTAGATGGGGGCGTGTTCTCCTCCTTTCTTTCTGAAGTCGGTGATCAGTTCTTTAGTTTTGCCAACGTTGAGAGACAGATTGTTTTCATTGCACCATGTCACCAAGCCCTCTATGTCCCTTCTGTATTTTGACTCATTGTTAGATATCCGTCCCACTACGGTAGTGTCGTCAGCATGCTTGCAAATGGCGTTCGTTTGGAATTTGGCGACACAGTCAGGGATGTACAGGGAGTATAGTAGGGGGCTGAGGACGCATCCTTGTGGGGGGGTTCAGTGTTGAGTGTTATTGTGGAGGAGGTGCAGTTACCTATCCTCACTGATTGTGGCCTATGGGTCAGAAAACTGAGGATCCAATTGCAGAGGGCAGAACTGAGACCAAGGTCATGCTGTTTTGAGACCAGTCTGGAGGGGGTAATGGTGTTGAAGGCAGAGCTGTAGTCAATGAGCAGGAGTCTGACGTAGGTGTCTTTGTTGTTCAGATGTTCAAGGAATGAGTGCAGGGCTAAGGATATGGCATTCTCTGTGGACCTGTTATGTTGAGGCAGGTTGGGAGACTGGAATTGATGTGGGCCATGACCAGTCTCTTGAAGCACTTCATGATTATTGAGGTCAGAGCCATTGGCTGGTAGTCATTAAGGCACACTGCACATGTTTTCTTGGGTTCAGGGATGATAGCAGTCTTCTTGAAGCAGGTGGGGACTTTGGCTTGTAGGAGGGAGAGATTGAACACGTCGATGAATACCACCACCAATTGGTCCACACAGGATCTGAGTGCTGTCCGGGCCCATGGCTTTCCTTGGGTTGACTCCCAGGAAGACCAATCTGACTTCTGAAGCGGTGATGGAGGGAACAGGTGTGTCTGGCAGGCATGACCGCGCCACTGGCATTCTGCTCAAACCAAATGTAAAAAGCACTGAGCTTGTCAGGGAGAGATGTGTCATTGCCCGCTATCTTACACTGTTTCATTTTGTATCCCATAATGTCATTCAGGCCTTGCTATAGATGGTGGAAGTCTGTTTGGTAGGTCTGGGCCTCTAACTTAGTCCAGTACTGCTTCTTGGCCTCCCTGATGGCTTTGCCAAGGTCATATCTGGATTTTCTGTATTCGATCGGGTCGTTCGACTTGAATGCTGCATGTCTGCTGGCACGTCTGACATGCAGTTTAAGTGGATTGGCCATACTGAAATTGCCCTTAGTATCCAGGGGTGTGTAGGCTGGGTGGATTCGCCATGGCAAATGTGGGATTATGGGATATGGTAGGGAGCTGAGTCTGGGTGCTATGCTCTTTGGAGGGTTGGTGCAGACTCAACGGACTAAGTGGCCTCCTTCCGCACTGTCGGGCTTCTATGATTCTTCTTTGAAATGTTAGTAGCTGGTAACTTGATTAGGGAGGTTAAGGTGCAGGAACCCCATAGGGTACAGTGACCATAAAATGATCGAACTCACCCTGCAGTTTGAGAGGTTGAAGCTTGAATCAGATGTAACAATAATACAATTGAGTAAAGGTAACTATAAAGACATTACGGAGGAGCTGGCCAGAATTTATTGGAAGTGGTCTCTCGCAGGGAAGGTGCTGGAGCAGCATTGGTAGGAGTTTCTGGGGGTAATGCAGGAGGCACAGCAGAAATTCATCCCAAGCCACATACTAAGGGGAGGATGAGGCAACCAAATTAAGTCAGGGACATCATAAAGGCAAAAGGAAAGCATACAATGTGGTAAAGATTGGTGGGAAACCAATGGATTGGGAATACTTTAAAAACCAGCAGAGGACAATGAGAAAAGCAATAAGGTAAGAAAGGTTGAAATATGAGGGTAAGATTTCTAGTAATATAGAAGAAGATTGCAAGCATATTTTTAGATGCATATGAGGTAAGAGATAGGCAAGAATGAACATTCAACTGTTGGAAAATGAGGCTGAAGAAATCATAACAGGGAACAAACAAATGATGGCAGAACTGAATGGATACTTTGCATCAGTCTTCATGTGTAAGACACCAGCAATAAACCAGAACTTCAAGAGAAATTCAGGAGGCAGAGCTACGTACGGTGGATATCACTAAGTAGAAGGTGCTGGGGAAGCTGAAGGTGGATAAACCAGCCAGACTACATGGACTACTGCCCAGGGTTCTGAAGGAGTTAGCTGAAGAGATTGTGGAGGTATTAGTGGTGATCTTTCAGGAGTCAGGGAGAGTACCACAGGATTGGAAAATCGGTAATGTAACACCCCTGTTTAAGAAGGGAGGGATACAGAATATAGGAAATTATAATCCAGTTACACTGACCTCAGTCATTGGTAAGATTTTAGAGTCCATTATTAAGGATGAGTTTATGGAGTATTTGGAGTTGCACGGTAAAATAGTAAAATTTTTTTTTTTTTTTAATTTTTTTTCTGATGAAGGGTCTAGGCCCGAAACGTCAGCCTTTCTGCTCCTATGATGCTGCTTGGCCTGCTGTGTTCATCCAGCTCTGGCCTTGTTGTCTCTGAATCAGAACGGCTTCATCAAGAGAGGTCATGCCTGATAAATCTATTAGAATTCTTTGAAGAGATAATGACCAATATTATATACATTTAATATTATAAGTATATACATATTACATGCATATATACTCATAAAGAATCATATTTTGATAAGGTTATGGTGAATGAATTGGGGAATGGATCTTACTGGATAACTCTTTAAAAATCTTGTCCTGGAATGATGTGCTGAAAGGTTTCCTGTGCCATACAATTTTATGCTCTTGTGATGCCAACCACCAAAGTATTGTCAGTATGTGAAGAATCAAATGGAATAATTTACCTGAAATTTTAGTGTTTGCCGTCTTTTATCTACTCTTCAGATTTCAACTATCCAAACTAAAGATGAAATTAAAATAGAAGCTAATTCTCTTTGAAACAGACAGTTTTAATGAGTTGTGGGCAAAGCACTGTATTGATCAAGTAAAGCTGAGACAAAATTGTACTGCTCAGACAGTTATGACAATCTCAGACAACGCTGGAGAAATTCAGCAGGTCTGGCAGCATGGTCTCAGGAGAGAGAATCTGAGTTAATTTTTTGACTTTAGTATGACATTTTCAGAACTGAGAGGGGCTGGAATTTTAAAAGATATTTTTCCAACCCCTTTTCTGTTCCGAAGAAGTCATTATCAGACTCGAGATGTTAATTCTGTTTGTCTGTCCAGACATGCTGACCAATCCTGCTCAGTTTCTCCAACATTCTCTTTGCTTGTTTCAGACTTCCAGCATTTACACTATTTTGCTTTTAATTAATTGTTAATTTATTTTTTCTGAAATAAAGTTTTGGATCAATTACCTCACATCAACTGAAGGCTGGGCAAAGACTAACAGGAACACAAATGAAGGAGAATGTAAAAATAAATTTTTGAACTTGCCCACAAAAAAGGTTGATTGCTCAGCAGTGAAGATTGCATCATTTTGTACTAGACAGATTGAGCTGGCACCACAGGAAGGGAAATAAGATCCATAGTTTTGAAATCCAAGTAGCATTAAATCTTGAATCATAATGTTGAAGTGCTACATAATTTGTAGAGTGCTCTACATTCCTGATGGGAATTTTGATTTTTTTTTGCTTTATGTGGCTTTTGAATGTTTTACATTTCTCATGTGACCTGATTTCTATTTGAAAATCTTGCTTATACCTTCCACACAATAAGGTTTTAATTTTAGAGTTAGATCTTTGCCATATCACATGTAAACTAAAACAAAAAACGTACTTGCTGCTGCTTTGTTTCTTTGCCTTGACTTGAGAATGATTTTCACCAGGACTTGGATATTTCTTTCATGGGTTAACTCCAGAACAGACTTTTATGCTACACATTGTGAAGGATATGCTACCCCTTGGGACCTTCAATAAGAGGTTGAAATGAATACTTTGAACTGATGAATGGCTTATAATCTTAAAAATTCTAATAATGTGACAATTTGGTTAGGATCAAAAGCATTTATTCTATTTCAACCTTCATTGCTACCTATTTTCATGCAATCAAGCACCTTTAGACATTGCTTATATCGTTTTGTTTCGTGATTGTCAGTAACTTGAACACATGCAGTAAAAATATCGATCAGTTTATAAATAAATAGCTGTTCTGAAAAAAAGTCACTAGACCCGGAACGTTAATTCTGCTTTCTCTCTATAACTGTTGTCAGACCTGCTAAGTTTTTGCAACAATTTTTGTTTTTGTTTCTAATTTCCAGCAGCTGCAGTTCTTTGGGTCTTTTGTTGTAAAATAAATGGCTAATAGGACTTGTATTTTCTTTTGGATGCTTAATTTTTATATTTGTGCTTTACAAAATTGATCCATTTATATTGTACCGTAATGCTGCATCTAAAAATATATGCCTGTGTTCTCGTAGGCCATTCTGACTTTGCCTTTTGCAGTTCAGGAAGATCTGATGGTTAGCGTTTGGAATGCGAAGCATTTATGTTAGAGCCAACCATTTTATTTTAAGGAGTGTTGATTTATTTGTAGTCAGCTAAGAATTGTAAATGCTAGTTATTAAACATGTAGATGTTTAAATTCAGTTTTTCTAACTCGAGTTATTTGAAGAGAAGTTAACTAAATTCAAAAACTGCGTAAAGTTAAAGTGTTGGAGGCTTGCTTAGTATTTTGACACCCCTATGTTTAAACTTTTTGTAGACGAGGCCACAGTAGGTGGGATCGTTGCTGCAGGGAACCATAAGCCAGATCAATGAAGTGAACTGGAAAAAAAACTGGCCGAGTATTTGATGTTGCAAATGAAACTAGGTTATATTGTCACAAAAGTTGGCAGTGTGCTGATTTAGTAGGCATCAAGTAACTTAAGTAAGGTTCACGCTCGTCAAAGGAATCCGAGAGTTTTACGTCCGTTCTTTGACATTTTACTTCCAATGATTTAACTTTCCGTGTTATAAGCAATTTGCATAAAGGAATACTTCTGTTTGTTGCCTAACAGCTTTGAAGAATTACGTTACGTTTCTAAGAATGATTTTTCCAAACAATCCGGTGAGAAATCCATCTCTGAAACAGGTGGGATTATAGATCTTTCTACTTAGAAAAACACAATTTATTAAGGTTGTAGATTTACTTGGTTGAAATATTCTAATTAATACACGTCTGCAGGTAAACTTTGCGCACACCAGTGATATAGTATAAATGACAATTAGTTTTATTTAATGGGGTTGGTTATTTCCAGCTTACTATTCAGTATAAACACTATTATATATTCCGCGCAATCGTTCGTGCCGTCATAGTACGAAGTGAGAAAAGCCAGAATTGTGATTTTTATCATTTAGGTTATGACTACAGCGTTAATATCTATTACCATAAGACGGTCCACTTCTAAGACCACGAGAAGTAAATTGCCGTGAAATGCCCTCTTTCAGTTAACCCTTTGATCACGAGAACAAAATTTCCATTACTGCAAATGGCATTTGAAGAACACTTACCATTAAGGGGAGGAAAAAGCGTTAATTTTAATCAGTAGTGTACATGATATTTGTTTGCAATGACTCTACGCTGCAGAAATTATTAGAAAAAAGGAAATCTGAAATAGTACAAACTGTTTTTGTTACAAATGACAAACAACTCCAGAGAAATAAAATGGCAGTCTGAACATAAAGCACTGTACATCTGGAGTCAAGTTTCAGTGATCCCAATATAGTGGTGAGTCATAGCTGGGAAAGCGCTCGCTACATCTTTAAACTTTCAGATTGAAACAAAAGAAATGTTGATGATTTTACAAAATTCAGGGAGAGCCCTTCCAATTCTTCTGAAAAAAAGATACTGAGTTAGATCTGTTGTTATACTAAGTGTAATATGCACTATTTGGTAAATTTTTGGAATGGATGCATATAACGAGATGATTTTCTTTTTATTGTAAAGAATTTATCTGCAGTATTTGTTCATACTAACAGCTTTTTCCAGCCCTGAAAATTCTTATGTTAACCGATGCCTTGTCAGTTAAATCTCGAAATGGCTATTTATTTAAGTTTAAAATAGACCTTAAAACGTAATGTTAGCCATGAAAAAGTAATATAAATTGATAAAGACATAACAAATGAACAATTTTGTTTAAAAGATAGGATAAACTAAATTTATTGACTTGATCAAGTCAATTGGCACGGTGGTTCGATTCTACCCTTGGGCGACTGTCTGTGTCTGCGTGCGTTTCCTCCTACAGTCCAAAGATGTGCAGGTTAGGTGGAGTGGCTATGCTAAATTGCCCAAAGTGGTCAGGGATGTGTAAATTAGGGTGGGTTATAGTGGGAGGGGTCTGGGTGGGTGCTTCAAGGGCTGGTGTAGACTTGTTGGGCCGAAGGGCCTGTTTCCACGCCTGTAGGGCTTCTACGATTCTATGAATTGTGCTCAAGGATCTTATGGTTTTATGGAGCCATCGGTGTTTTTACTCTATATGGTCTGAAACTTAATATGAATGTCATCCACACCTGTATCAAATGTTATAAAATGTGAACCTTCAATGGGAGCTAATTTTAACCACTACTTATTTATCAACGGTTTGAATAAGGCAGATTGGCCACGTCAATTTAAAGAAACATTGTGAGCAGGAATTTTGGTCTTGTCGTTATCTGTTGTTTGTCACTGCCCATGGTAATGTTACATTTTCAATCATTTAAATTTCAGGAAAAACAATTTTTAGATTTTTTTTTAAAGAGTTTTCAAGTACATTACCTTTTTAAAGGTGCGATCAGTTATGTACAATTTTCACGAAACCATTGTTATAGCAGTTTAAGTGATTATGTTAGCACTAAGTTGCTGTTCACTTGTCAAATGGAGTAAGCCACCAGTAAATTAATTTATGTACAGAAACAGGGTGGAGTGGAAGTGTCAATTTTTGGTAACTCAAAGTGGAATTACAATTGCAAGTAAGTGCAGCTTCACTATGAAACTGTTAGCTCAATTTAACTGTCATATAAATTGTTTTTGGGATTTGTACCACAGCAAATCAGCCTTCAAACTTCGTGTTTTGTTTGCATTTCAATATTAGTACTTTAAGTGAATTTCGTGCCAATGAAAAACGTGAGGAACATTTAAGTTCCTTTATATCTAAATAGCATCTTTTAAAAATTGTATTTTTGAAACTACAATTTGCAAATTTAATCATGAATTATTGGAAGTAGAGTTAAATATGCCTTTTTCCATTCTTCACCTGAGGAGGAATTATTTTTTCCTCAAGTATATGAGATTTTTTTGCAAATTACTGTATCATGTTGTACATATCTGCTGTCACAACAGTTCAGGGTATTTGCATTGAGACAAGTAAAGCTTTTGAGGGTGAGGCATATAACTGGAATGGCTGTGTATTTTGTTTGCGGATGTGACTAACTCTGCTGGTCGGGAGCATGCTGATAAGATGCTCCTTTTTCACACTGCAATCTATAGATTGAAAGGCCTGAATAGTCTGACAGAGCCAGGAAAACAAACAGGCTTTTAGTACTCAAATGACGAGGGAAGCAGTCAATGTAGGGGCACTAACTAACACAAAATCCAGGGTATGCATTGGCATTTCATTCGAAAGTTTCTTTTGTCTGCAATTAAACTCACATTTAAATTGCTTTGCAAACAGGATTTGGTACACTATTGGCTGACCAGACGGTTCATTTTGACTCTTCGGTTTTGAACCAGAATTATAGTTTCATCCATTTTTCAATCTGCACTTTGTGTTTTAAGTAGCGTTAGCGCATCCATTTATTCAATGCATAAAAGACTGTTCATTGTGCTGTGAACAATAATTTTCATTTGTTATCTTTTATTGGTAAGGTGAGTTACATTACATAAAAATTAATTGATCAGAATTTTGATTGGTTGTTGCAAGAAAGTTACTAGCATTTAATTGACCAAACAAATCTGTACATTACTCAAATACAACAATTTCTGGACTTGTTTGCACTTGTCCTTCTCACACTTTCAAGTAATGAATTAAACTTTGTACAGTTGGTGCTTTGCAAGCCAGCTTATTGAACTAGCTGATAGAAAATATAAAAGAGGGTTTAACTCTTGAGCAATTTGAAAGCTGTATATTGAAATCTGTCAAAACTAATTCTGTTCACATAATTTTTAACTTTGCTTTAGGAATGCAATGTTTGATACTGGAAAGGATTGTGTATATTTGTTCTAAATTTGCCAAGTAATTAATTTCACAAGTGTGAACCAGCTGTACTTTGTACTTTAGTTCTAATCATCCAATGAGTTTTTACTTGAGGTAGACCTGCATTCCAATGGGCCAGGAATTCAGCAATGTGACTAGATGTTTGGTCTAACAGGGAACAAATGTGTACCTTCTGTGTCACAAAATCCAAGTTTTCCTGTTGAAATGATATGACACAAGCTTTAGGAAACTGTTAAAGAGCTTCCTGTTGTTCAAGAGCTTGGAATGTTGAATCATCTCTCGAAACATAGTTGATGTAAAAAATTTAATGTACAAATTTTTCAGCATGGTAATGACAATATTTCAACTTTATGTATTTTTAATTTTAATGGATGCTGTGCTGGTGGTAATATTCAGGTTGTTGAGGTTTTGAGTTTGCTACCGGTAATGTAATGAAAGATGCAAAATTCTAGTGACATAATCATTGTGTATCCTTTATATTAAAACATACTTGACACATAAAAGATGTGGATCAGGATATCTTGATGATTTGCTTGTTAATATTCTTTAATAAGGATCTTTGTTTTGGCAATTTTTAATTGCCTTTGAAGATTGTTCTCGTGATATGAGATGATGGGTCAAACAGAACAGGTTAATCTGGTTTGGTATTTGCAGTTAAACCATACTTAGTGTTATATACTAAGAATACAATGTTCAGAACTTGTATTGTGAAGAATTTCACAAACTAGATTAATACCAGGAATGGTTTTTTGGTTAATTTAGTTGAAGCAAAGTAGAATTGGCCCACAGGAAGTTGGATACTATGATGAGGAATCCATGTGGTTTTGTACATGAATGAGCGAGATAGATGATATTGTCTCCCTCATTTACTATTCTTTTGATGCATAAAAATAGAAGCAAAGATGGCCTGTAAAAATAACATTTATGATTTTCATCAACTCGGTTATCAACACTTCAGACAGTTGGGGCTGCTTTTTTTTGATAAATAGTGAACTAAAAATGAAGAAACTCATCAAATTCTCAATGCTTATCACTGTATGCTTCCATATTATTCCTCCTGTTTCCTGATTTTTTTTTTTGTGTGCAGCTCCAAAGAGTTGTGAAGATCATGCAAAATACATGCCACTTTGGAAGTGGACAACTCAGATTTTTAGTGTTACGTCCATGTCCTTCTGTATCTGTGTTTACAATCTCTCCAGCAATTTGGCTGACTGAGCTCAAAGTCTTGAAAGTTCTTAGTGCATAATGTACTAACGTTGTGGCAACCACTGGTTTCCATGCACCAAAAAACCCTACATCTTAACTCTTGTTCTCCATATGACTTTAAATAAATGTTCCATTATTTATAGAAATCATTATCCCAGGACTTACATTTGACCAGCCATATAAATACTGTGGTTGCAATAGCAGGTCAGAGGCTAGGAATTCTGCAGTGAGTAACTCGTTTCCTGTCTTCCATATGCTATTCCACCATTTACAAGGCATAATGCAGAAGTAGGATGGGATAGTTTCCATTTGCCTGAATAAGTGCAGCTATAAAATTACAAAAGAAGCTTGACACCATCCAGGTCAAAGCAAGGCACTTGACTGACACCGCATCCACCATTTTTAACATTCACTTCCTTCACCACCAACATGTAAGATTCTAGGAGGTAAAATGTAGGTTTGTAAGACAGAGTTGATTACAGTTATAGTCAGAGATTTGAAAAACAGCCAATGTAAAAGTTTATTAGTCCTGATTAGTTACAAGATGCAGTCCAGGTAAAAATGTTTTTTACAGGTTTTGCTTATTTTTACAAAATTGCTTTTTTTTTATTAGTTTTTAAAACTTAAAATCAGTCATTTTCAGCCTTTCTGCGTTGAGGTGTCAGTTCGCGACATTGGTTGGTCACAGGTCTCT